GAGGCAGGCGGATCACTGTGAGTTCAAGGCCAGGCTGGGATAATGAGTTCAGGGTTAGCCTGACCTACATAGTGAGACGGTGTCTCAAAAACAAAACAAAACGCCCCAAAAATTCCTTCCTTGAAAATTTATTTGCTTTTGTTTTTGAAAGAAATATTTACTGGGTGTAGAATTCTAGATTGACTGTTTTCTTTTAGCAATTTAAAGACTTACTATTTATGATTTATAATTTTTTCATGTTAATTTCTACATGTCTTATTAAGTCATCTTATGTATATTCCACATAATATATAATGAAATTATGTTTCCATTTTCCCAAAATTTCCTCTTGAGCCCTTACCAGCAGAACAATTAATATTCAGAGTTTTTACTGGAAATCTGTTTATGCTGATATGATATATAGATAATACAGGTTTTTACTACTGTTCTCATTTCCTTTTGAGCTCCCTTGAAGGTCTTTACTTCAACCAACAATGTGTTTAAGGCAACCTAGGCTTTTTCTTCCTTATGTTCTTTGAAATTGTTCCAGCTTTTATGTATTATATAATCCAAATCTAGTTCCACCTTTCAGTGTATGTTACAGCAGAACTCCACATCTAGGCACCAAATCTCCATTAGTTTCCCATGGCTGTTGTAACAGATTACCACAGATTTAGCAGAAAGATTTATTCTTTCACAATACTGACGGCCGTAAGCTTGAAATCAGTTATCACTGAGCCAAAACCACGATCCAGGCAGGTCCACATTCACCCTCCCTGAAATCCAAAGCAGAATTCATACCTCACCTTTTCAGCTTCTTGTGGCTGATGACATTCTTTGCCTTGTGAGGACATTCCTCACCTAACCTCTGCTTTCATGATTTCACTGACTTCTCTGTTGTGTATCAGATCTCCTGCCTCCCCCATCAAAAAATACCTGATTGCCTTAGCTCTCTGAGAATCCAGGATAGTCTCATCCCAAGAAACCTGTCTTTTCAGCCATATGAAGTAGCAATCCCAGGTTTCAGAAATAGAGGATTTGGATATCACGGGGGAGGGAGGAATAATTCAGACTACAACAAACTGTGTGTTTCTTTTCTTCAAGAAAAAGACAAGGAATTTTGTATATATCTAAATGACAAGGAAGTGAGAGTGGTCTGAGAGTCAAAGCTTCACAAAGAAAAATAAAATACAAATCAGAAGACAACACTGAAAGTCACCATATGAGAGCCTGGATAGTTCAATCAAACCCAGGAGTCTGAAAACAAGAAATGCATGCAGAAGTGGAAAAGGAATAAAATAGTGACAAATAAGGTAAGGGAAAGGGAAAAAAGAAAAGATTTATGTTCCCAGAAAATAGGCAAGGGTCAATATAGGCTAGCTTGAAATGGAATCCAAATAGAGAAAGCCTTTGGCCTGAGATGCTTAACCTGCTTAACAATATACTGAACTATCCAAATACAGGAAAGTGAATAGAGAAAGTAAGCTATGTTGCAAGGTAATGAGTGTCACTCATGTGGTCGATACTTGACAAGTATTTATTGACCATCTACTATGTGCTACTGTGGTACTGACACATGCAAAATCACATCATCCCTGACAAAGTTTATGTTTCAGTTAAGGAGACGGGTAATACAGGAGCAAAAAATAAGTGAGCAGTATTAGAGGATTCTAAGAGCCATGACAAAAAAAGACAACAGGGTGCAAGAGAATACAGAATGGCAAGAGTGGAGACTTAATTTAGAACAAAAGCTCAGGACACACCTTGAGATAAACTTGATTTTAAAGGTTTTTCAACCAAGACCTGTCATGTAAAGGTACTGAATGTAATTGTACTGTATACCTAAAATGTATCAATGAACTCAATAAAAGAAAAAAAATTAAAGTTTTCTCAAGGCTGTGCCTTAAAGGATTATTCCCCAGCCCACAATTCTATTGGGAGGTGGTAGAACCTTTAAGTAGAGCTAATGGGAAGAAATTAGGCCACTGGCGTGCCTTCAAAGGGGACTGTGGGATACCAGTCTTTCTCTTCACTTTGCCTCCTGGCTTCCACAAGGTGAGCAGCTTGCTATAGCAAGCAATGGGATCAAGCAACTATGGGGCTGAGATTTCTGAAACCATGAGCCAAATAAACCTTCCCATTTTTTAGGTTGATTATCTTAGGGTTTTTGTGATGCTCATGGTTGCAGAAGTTTGTCTATGGTCATGTGGCCTTATTCCTTTGGGCCTGTGGTAGTACAGTATATCCTGGCAGAAGCTGCACACCTCAGGGCAGCCAGGAAGCAGAGAGTGGAAGTGGAGGTCCAATATCCTTCTCAAGGAGACACAATGGCCAGACTTCCTTCCACCAAACCATACCTCTTAAAGATCCCATCACCAAATAGTAGTGCAACAGGCTGAGAACAAGCCTTTAAAACACGGGGTAGACAAGACCAAATGCTAGCACTGAGTATCACACATCTTTGATGTTGTGTCTGGGCACATCACAGAATATATGGATTGAGCCAAATAAAGATCAGGGTAAGGGGGTTCCAGGTAGACACAGGAGCAGCTGGGTAAATAATGGCACCATTCTAGTATTTTGAGATGAAGAGAAAATCAAACATCTACTCTGGACATGTTACCTTTGAAATAACTATTAAATGTCCAAGTGGAAATGTCAAAGAGGTAACTGTCTATCCAAGTCCAGAGCACAGAAGAGTACTCTGAACCACAAATTTTAATTTCAAAGTCATTAGCATTTGGGTGATAATTAATTTTATTGGACTGGATGTGGTGGGAAGAGCAGGTAGAGAGCAAGAACAACCACTGAGCCCAGAGCCACTCCAGCAGTTAGAAGTCAGAAAAAGCAAAGCAGCCAAAAACAGGCAATGAGAATCAGTGAGGTATATGAAAGTCCAGAGAAATGTGGAACCCTGAAGATCATGCGAAACGTTTCAAGATATAATTTGAAAAAAACAAGAGATTAACTTTATAGTCAGTTTTGTATTTCCCAGTGAAAATCTGTTATGTTTACAATTAACATGGATATATACTAATTAGGAGGTGCTAGAATGCAGGGGCTTTTAGAAAGAAGATGGAAAGGGGCAAAGAGGAGTAGTACTAAGGAAAGAAGCCCAAATCCATTTACGTAGGAGGGTTGTAACCTAAAAGGGTAATTTCAGCCTCATTTATTCTACTGACTGTAAAAAAATTATTTTAAAGTACACAGGATACTTTTAAAATAATTTTTCCCATAATTCTGTCATCCAACAGTATCATTAATATTGTTCTTATTTTTTCTGGAATTTGATATAATGCATAGACCATTATTAGCTCAACATGGAAACTCTAGAGATCAAATGCCTGGTTTTAAATGATCATTTACTGGTCTGCGTCCTTAACCTTTGACTGTCTCTAGTTCAGTTGCCTAAGGTGTAATATGAGAATAATAGCAAGACCTACTCCCAGGATTTCTGTAATAGTTAAATAAGGTAATTCACAGCATGCTTAGAAGAGTACTTGATTTGGAGAGAATATTATATATGCCATTATTTAGTTGTAAACACATAACCATAATGAACTTCTCAGTCTTGCTTTCCTAAGTCTTTCCCATTTCATGTTACAACCTAATCAACTCCCTCTCACACTCATCATTTTTAAAGGCCACATAAACAAATTATGCTTCACTCATGTTGTAAAACTGTGTATTCTAAATTTCTATTTAATTGACAAACCTCACAGTTCTAGATATTCTGTAACATAATCATACATTTGTGCACCATATGTGTGCCCTAAGACAGAAGCACATTGGAAGAGTGGTTGCACAGATTTGAAGCCAGACTGCCTGGGGTTTGAGTTCCTTCTTGGCAGTTTACCAGGGCAGCAAGGTTTATGCTTGTTGTGGCAGGTTCCTCATATGTATAAGGTTAGGTAAGAAATGCCACTTACCTCAAAGGCCGTGAGGACTGAGTTAATAGATTGTAAGTGCAGAGAGCAGTACTTGCCAAGGAGTAAGTATTCAGTAACTGTCAACCATTAGTTTATTTTGAAACATTTCTCAGTTTACCGTCTTGTACAAGTATAATTCATTATTAGATCAAAAGTTATACTCATTAGGATGACCACTATAACAAAAGCCCAGAAAATAACCAGTGTTGGTAAGGAAGAACCTTGTGCGCTGCTGGTGAGACTGTAAAATGGTGCAGCTGCTGTGCAGAAGAGTATGGAGTTTCCATCAAGCACTTAAAAATAGAATCACCATATGACCCAGCAATCCCACTGGGTATATATCCTAAAGAACTGAAAGCAGGATCTCAAGGAAATATTTGCACATCCATATTTATTGAAGCACTAGTCACAACAGCCAAGAGGAAGCACACCAAATGTTTCCACTGACAGATGAAATGGATTAAAAATGTGTTGACACATAATGAAATATTATTCAGCCTTTAAACATAAGGAAATCCTGCCACATTACCACACAAAGCTTGAGGGCCTTATACTGAGTGAGATAAGTCAGTCATAAAAGGACGAGTACTGAATAATTCCAGTTATATGAGCTATCCATGGTGGTCAGTCATGGAAATGAAAAGTGGAATGTTGGTGGTTGGGAACGGGAAGGAAGAGCATGGGAAGCTGTCTGATAAGCAGAGTATTTACTTCTGTTAGACAATGTGTGCAATTAGTGGTGAGTACACCAAACATGAATACTTATTTCTTTTTTAAAATTAATTTTAGCTGGGGATTTAGCTCAGTGGTTTGGTGGCCTGCCTTGCAAGCGCAAGGACCCAAGTTCAATCCCTGGTACCAAAAAAAAAGAAAAAAAAAATTAATTTTATCGGTACATTTAAGGTATACAATGTAATTACATTCATCGTTAGAAATTTACATAACTTACACATTTACATAATCTGTCTTGGTTCTTATTTTTCCCCATTCCCCTGCCCTTGCTTCAACTCCTCCACTCCTCCCTATATACAAAGACTTTGTTTCCATTTTTTCTTTTTCTTGTGTTAATTCCATTCCCATCTTATTTATTGCTGGTTTAGATTTTATCCTTTTTTTTTGCATCATCCTTGATTCTTCATCACATAAAGATTCATATTATACTACATTTTTGAAGATGTGCTGTTTTGTTTCACCATAAAAATACATGCAATATAAATAGGAAAAACAATGCTCTTTAAAGAATTGATCTATTTGCTTTTATCAGGTAAGAATCATATATCTACATTTTCCTTTCTCCCCCACAACTACTCAGAAGTAACAACGCTTAATTACTATATTATTAGTCCAGGTTTGGAATATACTATTCCTCCCTCAATACAATTTCTGGCATTATTCTATCTTAATTCTAAATAATTTAGTATAAGGAAATTCTTAATTCCTTTTGGAAATCAGTAGAGTAATATGTACATACATAGACTTCTACTGCCCTCTTTGTTTCAACAGAAATACTTTAAGGAAGATATTTTAACCAAGGAAAATTTTTTTCAGTTTTAAAACAAAGAAAAATTGTTAAAACTCATTATGCTGTACTAATATGGTGTATAAATCAATACCAAAAGCAATTTTATGAAGTTAATTATTCTTCATAAGCCCTATTAGATTAAAAGAACAAACAAAATTTCCCAAATTTAAATATTGTACTAATTAATGAAATACTAACAAGACCATTAAAATAAGTATATCCCCTTCCACTACTGTCATTTATCATTCAACATTGTTTTGAATGGTATACCTAACATTTTTTTAAATTTAAAAACAGTAATACTGAAAGACAGACATTTACATATTCCTTTAAACTGTGAAGAAAAATGTTAATAAAAATTTAAGTTTAGCAACTGACAATTTGTATGTAATATTAAGATTTTTTTGTAACAAATTATAGTTGTAATGGTTAAGAACTAAATTAAACAATGCTACTAAAATTTTCTTTCCTGGGAATAAAATAGTAAAGCAAATTGAGATGTTTATGATATTAACTTGAGAAACATGCACATTAATCTAGCCTATTAAAGACTGCATTCAAAGGACAGTATACCTAGAGACATGCTTGTTTCAGGAATTAGAAGCAGAATTAACAGTATTTTTTGATTTTTTGCAGTAGAAGAAATAAAAGTTTTTTAAAATGCTCTTTTTATTGCTCAAATTCTATTCACCTCTTGTATACAAAGGAAGTATCTACATGTTATGAAGCACATAGAAGAGTTACTCCATAAATGCCGATTATAGAACTGATTTGGCCTTAACCCATTTTTCCTATGTGTAAAACAATCAGCAACTACAAGGTAAAATTGCTTTTAAAAAATAATATTAAGAAAAAGAATGATTTTCTAATATAAATATATTTTCCACTGTAAGAAAATTACAAAATCATATAATCATTTCCACTGTACAAAACTCACATAATCATTTTTGCTTCAAATGAGTTACTCAACTTTGGCTGTTAGTTTGAATTATTGAAAACATTTTTCTTAATGGAAATAAATCCAATTAAGCAGTAAAAATTTCCAAAAACCCTTGGAAAATGTGTCACCTATAAACCAACTTGCTAAAGATGTAAACAAGCTGAAGAAAAAGAGAAAAAAGTCCAAGCATGTTTAACACAGATTTAATTTTAAAAATTAAAAATATAAAGGAGGTCAACATTTGCTCACATTTATTTCAAGAAATTCTTATCACAAGCAAAACTCTACTGCCCCCTTTTGTCTCAAGAATGTAACACAACAGAAGTGCCAGAACAGGGTATCTTCCAGGAAGCACTAAAAGATAAAGGTGTGAGGTTGTGTTCCGGAAATTACTAGAGCAGAGGACACTTGCTTACTATTTGTTGTCTCAAATTTTTGTTCACTGACTGTAAAAATGTTCTATTTATTGCTGAAAATGCATTGCAGAAAACAGAGAAAGTCAAAGTCATAAATTTATAACTTTTTATGATTCTAGTTTAGTGAGCCTAAGAAGTAGAAATCTAAAAATTCTCAGTTTTAATGTTGGCCAAACAACCTATCCTGCTTGAAAATGCACGAATGTTTAAAACCAGCAAAAATAAAATAATTCAGGAATTTGTTGTCTTAGCCTCACAGCCATAGTTATTGAAGCAGTCTTTTGTTAAGTGATCTAAAAAACAAATTATGGATTCTCTTTGCTTAGCTTTAAATTGCATCCAAGTTTTCTCTAACAATTCCACTTTAAGTAGTCAATCTTATAGTTGAGGCTTCTTTTTTTATAGGAAAGATACATATAGCCTTGGTTTTCTGATACCTATTGCCTTGGAATTTCCCTTTCTATCCCAGGAATAAACCTAGAAAGTAGAGAGATAAAGAGGTTCTACTTCTATTTTAGGAATGCAATTAGCTAGTTATTTCTGTCAGTTGTACCTATTGACCATCTCAAATGAAACCATACTATTTATGTCTTCCAACAACAACAACCAATATTTATGCACATCAGCTTATGATTTTGAGTATGGAGACAAGGATATTCTCTTTGTCCCAACCTATGATCACACAATTGCTGAAATTCTTCAGAGGAAAAAAGAAGCTATAAATTGCTTTGTGACAGTAAAAGAAATCTTTAACTGGACTGCCAGGTGATAATGACCTTTTATTCCACAATTTCAATATGTACTTTTAATGAAAAATATATTTCTCATTCATTAACCAATTCATCCAAAGGAGAAAAGTAAAACACTGTAATTGCAAGTATGTGCACAATCACTTTTTTTTTTGGCACTGGGGATTGAACTCTGGACCTTGTGCTTGTGAGGCAGGCACTGGCATCACTGAGCTAAATCCCTGGCCCCACTCACAATCACTTTTTATGAGACATACAAGAACATTTCAGCAAGTTCTATAAAAATCTGATATAAAAGTTAAACAAAACAATTTAGAAATGATAAAATCAGTTTACCTAACCTACATTCCTTCAAAGACACATTTGCATGTCTTGTTGTGGTTTGCAAACCAAATATAAAGCCTCAAATTACTCTTTGAAATCCCATATCATATTAGCTAAACTGCATAAAGGTTCATCGGGATACATTTTGAAAAAAGCCATGAACACAAAAGCAAGACAAAACCTAGTGCTTGGTATCGTGTACATAGCATATTTAGAAGGATTGGTTAATAAATGCTTGGAGCATACCTACAAACTTCAAGGCACATTTGCACCAGCTGCACCTATGATGCCCACAGCATTCATGCAGAAGGAAAGACAACAATGTTCCCACATTACTCAAGAGAAAACTAAGGAAACTTGTTGAAGATCTTGGAGTCCAATCACTTGCGCAACACATTTATCAATGGACTCAGGATTCAGAATAGGGCCTATTATTGCTATTGATTTACCTCCCCAACTACTCTATGACATGATCCAAAGCATCAAAACAAGGTTGAATTCTTTCATTCTGGAAAACAGAACCCCTCCCCCTGCCCCAGTGAGAATGGGTAACTTGCAAAGCATTCACAGTAAAACACTAGGATAAAGAGGGTAGCTGAATGAAGAGAGGCTAAGAACTATCTGAAAGATTTTAATTTGGCAAAGTTCTACCAAAACCTAGAATAAAACTAGAACAAAGTGAAAAATCATTCTAATTAGGAAGCCAATATTCAAACCAACTGAAGTGGGAGCAGAAATAAAAAGGTAGGAAATTTCTCATCTTCATAACTCAAAGTGTTTGGCACATCTCCATATAAATAACTCTGAAATTTCTTTGAGGTAGACAAATGTTAGGAATGAATTTATTTCATACTTTAATAAGAATAGAAGAGGGGCTCCATTTCTAAGACTAACTTTAAAAAGTTTTACTTATTTTTAAAACTCCTTCCAGTAAAGTGCTTAGATGTCAGCCATCTTATTGCATACTCAAAGGCTGACATGAAGATCTGATAGCTAAGGAACCAATGTCAAGTTGGACTTCAATAAAAAAGGCCTGAATGCATATCAAAGTTCACAGCAAGTTTATAACTTCCTAGAACTTCTCTACTAAGACCATACTGTTCCTCTTAAGACTTTAAGCCCAAACTCAAGCTGACTGTAGTCTCCATGAATCTCTCAGTCAGATCTGGTGCTTTTCCTTCAAAATCCCATCAACCGTATGTGTTGCTGTCACTGCTCACTGCTGCCTGAGTCTCCCCTCTGGACTGTAAGCTATTCAGGGTCTTCAGGAGAGTGAGCTTCACTTTGTAGCTTCAGTACCTACCACTCCACAAGCACTCAGAGGACTCAATGTCCCATCTTTGTCACAATCTCAGAAGCAGCTCATATTATGTATGTTCAACAAACTGGAGCTTTATAGTTAGTTCTTCACATGAAATTCAATGAATTATCGCAGTACTCATTTTTATCCCTATTGTTTACCCAGGAAGAGTTAATAGTTCTTCACATGAAATTCAATGAATTATCGCAGTACTCATTTTTATCCCTATTGTTTACCCAGGAAGAGTTAATAGTTCTTCACATGAAATTCAATGAATTATCGCAGTACTCATTTTTATCCCTATTGTTTACCCAAGAAGAGTTAATCCACTTCGGTAAGTAACTAGGTTACCATCTTGGGTCCTCTCTGACCCCATTTTAAAAATTAATTTCTTTCATTTAAACATCTTTACACACTTAGTACATAAAACTAAGTCCCACAAAAAGTGACATATCATGATCTATTGATGGATCTTTTTGTTACCAGATCAGATAAAATTAAAATTTTGTGCTTGAACCCCACTTTTCAACGATTAACAAATCTGAGAATTTGAACTGACACATGAAGTATCTCCAGGAAAACAAAATAAAACAATACCAAAAAAACCCACTATGTACTGAATGCAGGAACATGGCTATGAAAAGGGACAAATTTTTGTACTTGTTTGGCCCCAATTTCTGCTACGTAGATTGCTCCAGTCTTTCTGTCAACTTCTAGGAGATGTGGCAGAACCTGATCTGGTAGCTGGATGGTGCTGACCACAGAGCAGTCACCAATGCTTCCCACCGGGGGTGCTGCCACAACCAACAGCCTGCTAAGATTCAGCTGCGCCATGATCAAGTACTTCTCATCAGGAGTAAATCTAAGAGGAAAAACAGTTGACAGAACAAGTTTATCATAAACGCTTACTTTCTCAACATTTTCGTTCCCTATAGTGATGAACCACAGTAGGCACCTATCTGAATGATTAAGGAGAATTTAAATTCCATCTAATTCTGTTGAGGGAAGTAAGAGATCTGTGATGGTGGAGACAAAGATTAACTTAAATGAAAAATAAAAATTATCAGTATGACAGTTTTAAACAAAATAAAAGAACTCTAAACTACAGACTCAAACTATTATTTTCCTTCTTTAAAAATTTTCCCTTTGTTTAAAAGTTTACCAAAGGCCTAGCATATCTTTATTATCTCTGATACTGGGTTTCCACAGAGACCTGGGAGTTTAACTGCTTTCAGTTTATCTGGCATTCAAAAATCCAAGATATCAAAATTTTTCTGTATGCTTGTTTCAGTACATTTCCTTCTGCTTCGTGTGTGTGTATGTGTGTGTGTGTGTGTGTGTGTGTGTGTGTGTGTTGATACTGAGAATTGAATCTAAGGCCCTGCAGATGGTAGGCAAGCACTGTAACACTGAGCTATATTCTCAGACTCTGCTTAAAATTTACAATGAATATCTTAAACTTTCACCTGGCTAATCAGAGGAAGTAACATAAATCAACTAAAATAAGCATTTCAAAATAAAAAGAAATAATTACCTGACTGAAGAAGGTCCTTCGTCTATGAAACAGTTATTCCATGCTCCTAGCCACTCTCCAGTGATTTTATTGAATACTTGGATTCTTTTATTCCCTCTGTCAGCAACCCACACCTGAGAAACCAAAAGCATACAGGAAAAGATTCACTACATGAGAAGGAAAAATAAATTCTTACTTTTATTAGTTTCAAATATAGTACTTCAGTACTTACAAGACCCCAAAGAACATATAAGAAAAAACTGAAGGTTAAATGACTTGTCTGAACTGTACTTACAAGTGACAGGGCCACAATCTAATGGCTATCTGTCTTAATGCTCTGTGTCCTATGTTAGACAAGTGATTAACCAAAACAACTAAAAAAACCTGAGTAGTCCACAGTAATGCAGAGGATTAATAGACAGTAAAAAGCAATAGTGAGCCTTCTTCATTCCTCTAACAAGGCTCACATTCACTGAAAGCCACCAACCTGTCGGAAACAAGACAGAAAAACAAAAGCAGCCTTGCTCTTTAGGAACTCAGCAAGGGAGGTATTTATTTACTCTTGTATCACTAAACATATGCTATGTCTAAAGTGCTGAACCACTAAATAAGACAGGCTAGATTTGAGTAACACATAAAGTATGATAACAGGTTTTATTTGACCTTATGCTGTAATGAGTTAAGAAACTGTCTTTGAAATAGTTTTCGATGAAATGTAGCTAGAGCTAGAAAAGTAGAAAAACTGAAATGGAAGAGAAAGGCAAAAGCCTGCTGATCTCTACCATCCCTCTTTAAGCTCTTTGGAGTTCTTGGGTTTGTGGATTACAGGTAATCATGACTCTATCAGTGTATGTGAATTTGGTAGCCACTGACTTCCTTTCCAAACAGAAACAAATAACGACTCATTATACCATTTCATAGTCTCTGATGCCTAAGTAAATAATTTTCAAGGCCTTTTCCTAATCTATGATTCTTAGGAAAGATGAGTTTCCTTAAATATTTTGTGTCTCAGATAAATGATCAAAGAAGAAATAAAGTTTGCACTCTAGAACTGAATACTATATAGCAGTGATGGTAAACCTTTTAGTGTTCAATGATACAAACAGCCTGCTGTAGCATGCTTACTATAGGTTCACCACCTCAGCTATGAATTGTCAGCAATGTCTTCTCTACTTAATATTCAACAAATTTTGATCATAGGAAATCCTACTTAAAAAACAAGTCTTTACAAGGAATGAATTTTCATACAGCACTGTGGTGATAATTAAACAAATTAAATCATTTCAAATGTTCACAATAGAATTGCTGTTAGAAAAAGCACAAGCATATAAATCCTAACACTCATTCTGTATGACTCAGTAATGCCAGAATACTCTTAGAAGTGATCTACAAGGCCCCTTAGGACACTGCTAAGCATGGAAAATTTGCCTGGGTCTAGGTTTCTCATGCTCTGAAATTTGGAGTTTTTCTTCGTCGACAAGGGAAATAATTAACCAAGTTCAGGAGGCTAATGTGTAAAAACAGAACTCTAACTTTCCAGTGCTCAATTTATATAGAAAGTTCATCTGGTCTGTTAATTTCTCATGGTAGACAGGAATATTTAATGATCAAAACATTTATACTTTGTTATCAATGAAAAATGTCATTAGAAGGTTACTTGATGCTACAAAACCAGAAGTGGAAATAGATCGTCTAATGTCATAAAGGCAAGCAGCCTGATGTATCTATTGCGAATTGAGATGTTTTGTCATTTAAAAAGTACATATGACTACTATGTGCCAGGCAGTAAGATATGAAGCAACAGGCTCAGTGCGAGTCCTTATATAGCCTACAATCTATTAGAAGAAACAATTAAATGATCATAATATACATGATAATTACCATAATGGAGAATTATAGGCCACTATCAGAAAATGAGAACTTAATATAAAATGTTTTGAAGGAAATTTAGTTGTGTGTAGGTAATCCCAAAGTGGTATTTTGATTTAGAAGGTGAATAAAAGCCAAAAAGGTGGTAGTAAAAAGGGACTGAAAAGAGAGAATTAGATTGAAATTTGTTGGTTAAAGCTGTTTCCAGGAGTGTAGCTGGCGAGACAAGTTTGCCTACATGGCTCTCTTTTTTTTTTAAGGTTTCAAGATTAACCTCTAGTTCAAGCCCAGCCTGGGCAACTGAGCAAGTGCAAGTCTGTCTCAAAGAAGGGCGCGGGGGAGGGAATGTGGGTATAGCTCAGTGCAAATGCCCTGGATTCAATCTCCAATATTGAAAAAAAAGATTAATCTCTCCCACCCTTTTCGGATCAACACATTCTCTTCTCACAAATTGAAAACACTGAAACACTTAAGTTTTTTCCTAGCATGAGGGCAATACTTCTTTTCAAATAATTTTGTTTGGATCCATTCTTTGTTCTCTCATCTACTTTGCTCACTACTAAACAGTTGAGGAATCACCGCAGTATAGGAGCCAAACAATTAAAGAGAGTATGTGTGCACACCCAGCCCCGGAGGAATCGCTCAAACCTACATACTAACCAACACACACCCACACACACATGAATATGACAATGATCCATGCAAACATGCCCAGAGACACAGATCTAGACACACATGAACACACACACACACACACACACACGCAATACAATGTCCCACCCAATGAAACTGTATTTTTACCCGTCCAGCTGAATCGAGTGTAACACTGTGAGGTATATTGAATTTAGCAGGTCCTGTCCCATTTTCTCCATGTAGCCAAAGAATCATGAAATCTACCAGCAATAAATATATATGGTCAGTGCAATATATAAAATATCTTATACATTTGTATGTCACATTTTTCAAATTGTAAAAAAACTAATTATGTCTTCACTGACTTAATTATATGTTCTTGGCTTCATGTACCCATATTCCCATTTGCCTAATTGTTACACTGCTTCAGTTAACTTATTTCTTTAATTATCTGCCCTTGAATTTGTTTTTGATTGCTTCAAGATCATTATTTAGGATTTATATCATCCTCTTTCTTAAGTTGGCTCCTCTTCCCAACTTACTGGTTATTTGGTATTATCATTGCACTGTGCTAAAAAATTCACATTATGCTTTTATAGTGTGTCTCTCTAACTCTAACCACTCGAGTTTTGAACCATGGTCCTCCAAAATATTTGCCAATGTCCTAACCACTTGCACCTGCAGATGACAATAAATTAGGGATCTTGAGATGAGATCATCATGAATTTAGAGTAGCCTCTAAATCCCCGAAAGGGAAAGGAAGATTAGATTTGAGACGTAAAGACCTGGAGAAGGGGCTCAGTGAAGAAGGAGGCAAAGGTGAGAGTTACCTGCCCCAAGGCAAGACATACCTGAGGCTACAAGAGGCAAGGAAGAACTCTACTCCAGTGCTGTTAGCAGGATCCTTACCTATCTTATAAATTTCAGACTTCTGGATTCTAAAAATGGCTACAATAAACTTCTGTTGTGTAAAAACACTCTGCAGCAATTTTTAATAGTGGCCATAGGAACTAATATATTTATATCCTATCTGTTTTCTAAATTTGGTTTGTTTTTTTCTTTCATAGAATGTTTTAGATTCTTGCTTTCCTCTGTGCTACCTCCCTTCAACTGTTACTGATCTATTCACTACTAAGTGATAAAACTACATAGCCTCCAAATAATACAACTCACTAGAAATACAGAGTCCGCCAAAAAAATGTATAAACACTTCAGGAAAAGGAAAATAGTATGATATTTCTTCAACAGATGGTGTTACTCTCACATGGGGGATCCTAGAGGCTGTCATGTATCGCAGAAAACCTACTACACTGCCGGCCCTTAGATAGGAAATTGAAGATGCATGTGTAGCATTCTCAATGGATACTTTAACCAAGGTTACCAAGCAGTGATTTGCCATACTAATAAATGTCTGTAAGCTAGAGCACTTTTTGTAATTATAGAAGTCAGTGGTTAACTTGTATTAATCTCATGATGTTTCAATAAATTTAGTATTAAAATATTTACACAATTTTATAGAAAAACCACATTTTCTTTATCCAGATTCCAACTGATGGGCAGATGGGCTGTTTCCAAGTTTTACCTATTACAAACTGTGCCTCTATAAACATGGGTGTGCATAAATCACTGTGATATGATTCTTTTAATTCTTTTGGAAAGATACCCAACAGAGGGATGGGTGGGTCAAATGGAACCTCTAATCCTAGTTCTTTGAGGTATCTCCATATTGATTTCCACAGTGGTTGCACCAGTCTGCACTCCCACCAACAATGGAGAAGGGTTCCTTTCTCCCCACAACCGCACTAACATTTGTTATTGTGTGATTTCTTGATAGCAGCCGTTCTTTGTGGGGTGAGGTGGAATCTCAGTGTTGTTTTCATCTGCATCTCTCGAATGACCAGTGATGTGGAACATTTTTTCATATATTTACTTGTTGCTTTTATTTCTTTGTCTGAGAAATGTCTGTTCATTTTAGATGCCCATTTTAGAATTGGGTCTTTATATTTGGGGGGGCTGGTTGTTTTGAGTTCTTTATAAAATGGAATACTGCTCAGCCATAAAAATGAGAAAGTATATTCATTCATATGTAAATGGGTACATTTTGATGATATAATACTAAGTGAAATAAATAAGTCACACATTTGCAAATACCAAATAGTTTCTCTAGTGTGAAAAACTAAAATAGGTCAAGATCCTAACGGGACAATTAGCAAAGAGGAAGAAAAGGACCAAAGGTGTAGGGACAGTGAGAAGGATAGGGAAAGGGGAATAAGGGAAAAGGAAAATAATATGAGAAAATGTAAAAATGGAATTAAAGTGTTTGAAGGTGGGGAGGGGAGGAGGGGGTGAAGGGAGGGTGGGGACAAGGGGAAAAAATGAGAACCAAGACCTGGCATGTAAAGGTACAAGATCCCAGTAATGAATGTAACTGTACTGTCTACCTAGAATGTACCAATAAATTAAAAAACAAACAAACAAACAAATATTTACACAAATTTTTCTTCTCTTGAAGTGTGTATACATTTTTGGAAGACCATGTATATCCTAATACTGTTTCTTGTAAAACCCCTCTTTTTAGAAAATAACTTTTCTACTAAAAACCTCCAAGAGACTCTATAGGCCAGTGGTGGGAAACCTATGGCACACATGGTGTAGCAGGCACCAGCATTGCTATAGGCATAATAGTTTCTAAAATCTTCAGATAGGCTTTCACAGACATCTCAAATCTTATTTTCCACTGTTCGGAAAGTACATTTTCAGCCACAGTCCTGCTAATGATTACCTGTAGACTTTGTAAGATGAAGCCTGCTGGAATGCTCTGTCCATCCCCCTCCCTCCATCCACCAAAACCAATTTAGTTCAAGGAGTACTTCATGAAATCAAACTCACCCTACTTCTCCAGTCAATTTAGTTTCTCCTTCTTATAATCTCTATTTTATTTTCAAAATGATTACCATAGATTGCATTTAATTGTCTCATCCATAACAGACCTACCTCTATTGCTATAACATAATGAGGACAGAGAACAGGGTCCTATTGAAAATATGTCTGGCTTATCAGCCTGTAGAATATCTGACTCTGGGAATCTAGACTCCTAACTTCTCCACTCTTAATTAGATAGGCACTTATCTCAAACTGACTATAAATTCTCAAACTCTCTCCAGTTCCTTATGGAGGAAACTCCCAGGCATTGGTGAAGTGTAAGCCATGACAGCAAAATCATTCATTATTGCCACTCCCATCCAACTATCTTCCAGTTTTCTCCTAGTGTTTTAGTCCTTTATGCACAATTCGCATATAACACAGTTACCATATTATACCATGTATGAAACAAATTAAATCTAATTTATAAAATAATATTTTTATAATATAAAATTTAGTCATGTACCTTGGGACAGTTTAATCAATCTGTTATTCAATCCTCCATCTCCATCCACAATATAAATATCTCCTGTGTCCTCTACATATAATTCTGCTGGATTATCAAATTGCAGGGGACTCAAACCGGTGCCTTTTTTGCCTGCAGTACCCAAGACTTGAACAAGATCACCAAAGGAATTGTATTTCTTAACAGTATGACCATAGGATCCTGTAAAAATAGACATTCACATCTCAGAAATAAAACCACTATATAACATTTAGCTTTCAAATAAGCGGAGGACAAGAATTAAACAGTGAGAAAGGGTTAATAAGTTCAGATAATTTACTGTTATAACTGACAAGAAACAGAACATCTTCATGTTACAGCCAAATTTGTTTATGAATTGAAACCTGAGTTACTCTAAAATAAGACTCTAAATTGAAAAAATAAACAAAAAAACTGACGCATACAGAAAGTTCATGGTTAACAATTTTTTGTGCAACATTTTTTTAAATCTCATGACCTTGAAAAAACACTGCTTGCAGAAGGACATCAAGAAGCAACTGTAAAAGGAACAACTTACATTCAAAGCTATTTTTTCAATCATTTATATACAGATCTTAAATTTTAAATCAACAAAAAACTCCATAATAAAACTTTTTAAAAAAATACTGTATTTTCTTCTGGTGGAAACAAATCAAAAATTGAAATCATTAACTTTTCTCTCCTAAGAGAAAAACAGTCTTTGAATTAAAATGATCTCATAAGTAAAAGAATAAAGTAGAACACTAATAAAGGAAAATTATAAAGTAGCAGAAATTAACTTGAAGGCATATAACTGATAGGTATGCAAAAGACTAACTGAATACAAGGAGCTTACCAGAAATAAACTAAATCAGTTCACATTACAAGTCTATTTTGAAGAATACATGTATTATTATATTTAATTTGGACATTTAAGCTTAAGTTTATAGCAATAATAAGAAAAAAAAACAGTATTATCAGAGAAAGGAAATCTTAAATTATTTGAAGAATTGATGAATAATGAATATTAGACAATAATCTTTTTCAAGAAAATGATTGATCTGCAGCTATCTTTTCATTAGAGTAATCTATTCCTTTTAAAAATGGAGGAAAAAAAAAAAAAGTAATCTCAACCAGATCTGTTGGTGGGAAAATAAGCTCTAATGGAAAAAATGAGATTGGTTATGTTCTTTTTACTTCTGGGAATCAGGGAAGTCTTATAAAAAAGAAAAACATGAACAGAATGAATTAAAGCACAAGCCAGACTTTTAGCAGTGAATTTTGGGGAAAAAAAGTAAAGTCAAATCTCATTATAGTGCTACAATAAACTGTGATATTCTACATTTTTTGTTTTAGCTAGATTTATACCATCTAAAATACATCTTAAAATAAATGGTTTATCCATTATTTTAGGCCCAGAAATTTTTTGAGTTCTGAGAAGATGGGTGATGTGGCAGTGGAACGGCATATAAAAACTTAGACCCCCGTTAATTTATTTTTAAAAAACTATCTGAATTAGCCAGATATCTGGGGAAACACTTTATCTTCAAACTCAAGAACATAACTAGGGTAAAGATCACTAGAAATACTATATTTAAGATCCTATGCCTTCCTATGTTCTTAAGGGAACACCAACCCTTCTCTGGCATTGCTTTGTTAGCTCACCAGCACAAATGAACTAACTTTCTAGGCAAAGTTCCTCTATACTTGTCATTTCAATTGTGCTTCTCTTTCCTTCCTTCTTTCCTTCTTTCCTTCCTTCCTTTCTTTCTTTTTGTGTGCGCGCGTGTGTGTGTGTGTGTGTGTGTGGTACCGGAGATTGAACTCAAGACCTTGTGCTTGCAAGGCAGGCGACAGAACCACTGAGCTAAATTCCTGGACCTGTGCTTACTTTTTTTTTTTCAATATTGTTTATGAAAAATATTTGCTGGTGAGAAGGATTCAGATTTGCTTTGTCAGTGGAATTCCAAAACCATGAGCACCAGTTTCTTTGTACGCTATACAACAAAGCAATTATAGCTTCTTAGCACAACCTCTTTTGAAAGAATGCTAATAAAGAAAATGAGCTGAGTCTATTAATTCTCTTTAAAAGATTGCCATTTAATTTGGCACTGCTGAAGAGGAATAGACAGTCTGAGAAGAGTAAATGTTGGTTGTTAAAGAGGAAAGTTCCCTTATCAAGTTTAGAAGAAAGATCACAATGATTATAGCCTCCTTGTTGAGTATCTTGACTCTGCAGGATACAATAGAAGATTCTGGGAAACAAGTAATTTTGTGATTATTAAAGAAATTACAATTAGGTTTGGCAACTCTGATTCTAAAATGTACAAGCAAGAACATGGGCAAGATGTGATTTCTAGTAAGGTAAGTTAGCATATACAGCTACACGTACCACTTCCTACATCTGTGATCCAGACGGACTGTTCATATGGTGTGCTGGCTGCAAACATACCATGAGGTGTGTCAACTGTGTAATTCCAGGCTCGCAGGAAATATCCATCCTCTGTGAATACTAATACTTTTGGGATGTTATCCCCTCTCTGAAGGTATACAAAAATAATTGCTTAGATAGGATCAGTTTTAAGGAATGGTAATCTTCATTTTTTTCAGAGGGAAACAAAATTGAAAAGTTAATTGAGAAATCTAGTAATGTCTGAAAAACCAACTTCAAATCCTAGTAATAAATACAGCATATCACATTCAAAATCAAAATATTTACTTGAAACCCATTCCAAAGTCTCATAAGTAGCACAACAGAAATATAGTTACTCAGTCCAGTAAAACAGAAAGTCTGTAATTTCCTTTGTGCTCATTTTTTAAATTCCCATTTTACTTACTTGAGCTACGTAAACCAATCCATTGAGAGAGTCAACTGCAACACAAAATGTCGCTCCAGTGAAGTATTCTGAATAATTAGGCCAACCCAAATCCAGCCGGTAAAGAAGTTTCTCCGATCTCCAGGAAACTTGAAAGGCAAAGTTCCTTAAGACCTTAAGTAAAACCAGAAGATTAAAATTCAGTTTGTGCTTTAGATAAGATAATGGGGTTGGGGTGCGTTTGTAGTTTGCTGGACTGAAATGATTCCTAAGAAATGGGCTTACATATATTTATTTGCCATTTGTACTTCTTCAACTAAGTATATATTCATTTCAGATGTCCATTTCTAGGCTGGGTCTTTAACTTAGGAGAATCTGATTTTTTTTTTTTTTTAGTTCTTTATATATTCTAGATATTAGACCTTTGAGGAACAGCTGGCAAAAATTTTTAAATATATGAAAAAATGTTCAACATCACTGGTTATTCAAGTGATGCAGATTAAAACAACACTAAGATTCCATCTCACTTCAGAAAGAATGGCTATTATCAAGAAATCAACCAATAACAAATGGTAGCAGGGCTGTAGTGCAAAAGGAACACTTTTCCACTGTTGGTGGGAGTGTAGATTGTGAAACCACTGTGGAAATCTGTGGAGATTCCTCAGAAAACTAAAACTATAGGTTCCTTTTGACATAGCTATTCCCCTTCTTGGTATCTTCCTGAAAGAACTAAAAGCATAACACCACAGTGATATGCACACACCCTCGTTTACAGCAGCACAGTGTGCAATAGCTAAATCTTGAAAATAGCCCAAGTGACTATCACCTGAAGAATGGATAAAGACGTAACTTTTTATACAATGGAATACTACTCAGCCACAAAGAAGGATACACTTTGGACATTTCTAAATAAATGGATAAACCCTGAGATCATATTCTTAAGTGAAATGAATCTGACACACATGTAAATATTATTTCTCTTCTGTGAGAAATTAAAAACATAAGGATCAAAATGTATAACAGATACTGTGAAATATCTCAAATGCTCAAATGGGAAGGGGAACTAGGAAGGGGGAGGGGGAAAGGAAGGAAGAACAAAGAAAAAAACGAGAAAAGGAAAAAATGCAAACAAAGCTTTCGTAAATAAGGAAGAGAAAAGGGGCTGAAGGGAAGCGAGGGAAATGAGAGAAAATAAGAATCAAGATATATCATGTACCAGTACAAATTCCCTATGATGAACGTGATCATTACGTATACCTAAGATGTACCAATAAACTTAATTTTAAAAATCTGAAAGTGAAAATAAATAGCTTCTGATAAAGAATAAATAAAAGAAATGCGCTTACAAGTCTACAGATCAAAAAGACCACAATATGGTCTGCAATTATTACGCAGGAAGAGTTGCTGAATAAGAGAAAATACCATCCACAGTGACACTTTTTTAACACTAATAAACCAAGGAACTCCTCAGAGGCCCGGCCTCAGGTGCAGGTTTTGAGACTAGCTACTGCGGGAGGGAGCCAGGGCCACCAGCCAGCACACCAAGACCCCGGCGCCGCATGCGACAGTGCCGTCCTTACCACCCGACAGTGACTTCCTCACTGAAAGACTCACCCCAGAGCCACAAAAACGCGCGTGCAAAACTAGACTTGCAAGAAAAAAGCCAGCGCCGGCTGCGCAGACCCAGAATCTGGCCATGATCAGAGGGAAGCAACGGAAGAATCCACAGGTCACTGGGGACAGCCAGGCGGCCTCAGGTACGAGTGGTCTGTCGAAGCCCCTATTTCCAGTCCCTGTTGCCAGGAGGCGCGGACACTGAGAACGGAAAGGAGCACAGACCAGGCCCAAAGAAAACCCGAGAAACCCGAGTTCCGGGTTTCGTGGGGGCCTTCCCGGGTCCCCGCCCCAATGTCAGCATGTCAGGGGCCGACGAGCTGACCCAGTGACCACCCTTTCCGCACCCCTAGGGGTGGTCCTTGCGCAGATTCTCGTGGCCACCAAAATAGGGGTGCCTGCAGATATGCCTTACCCATTTGCCCTTCATTCTTTAAATTTCATGTTGAAAATTCAAAGTATAGCCCTAAATCCGGACAAACAAGATGTAATTGACAGTAACAAAACGACTTACAAGCTCCCATAAAGTTGTAAATCAGATTCAATTTGGAAACATCCAGGCATCCGCTCTAGATGCCTATGTTCCCACATCAAGACCCCTCCGCGGGCTTTCAGGAAACTGGGCCCAAACTGGCGGCCCAGAGTTGAGCTTCCTTGAGCGCGACGGGCTTTATTGATAGACCCCTAGAGCCGGTGGGGGTTGTAGGGGGTAACCCGGCAGGGCGGCAGGCGCGGCAGGCGCTGAGGTCCTCGCGAGTCCCCCTTCGCCAGGCCGTGTCCCCCTTCGCCCGACTCCGGGTGCTT